AGGATTCCCCAAACTTAGCTAATTATTAGAATTATGGTGACATTTAATGAACACAGATTTCTAGCCTCCTTCCTTTGAGGTTCCAATTCAATATGTCTAGGTTGGGCCACAAAAGGCTGCATTTTTAACATTTGACCATCACTATATTTTTACATTTATTTAATTTCAAAGTATTAGGGGGTACAAATGTTTTTGTTACATGAATACCTCTTACAACACTTAAGTTGGGGCTTTTAGTGTGTCCATCAACTGAATAGTGTTCATTGTACATGATAGGTAAGGTTTTACACTTCTCCCCTCCTCCTTGGTTTCCAATGCCTTTTACATCTCTTTGTGCCCATGTGTGCCCATTGGTTAGCTCCCAATTATTAAAGAGTATGTGTGGTGTTTGTTTGAAAAATCCTGAGATACTTCACTTAGGATAATGGTCTCCAGTTCCATCAAAATTGCTACAAAAGACACTATTTCATTACTTTTTATAGCTGAGTAGCACACCATGATATGTGTGTATACACACACACACACACACACACACACACACACCCCACATTTTCTTAATCCACTTGTGAATTGATGGGCACTTAGGTTGATTGCACATCTTTGCAATTGTGAATTGTGCTGCAATAAACATTTGAAGGCAAGTGTCTTTTTGATAAAATGTCTTCTTTTCCTTTGGGTAGATACTTAGTAGTGGTATTGCTGGGTCAAATGGTAAGTCTACATTTATTCTTCAAGGAATCCCCATACTGTCTTCCATAGAGTTTGTGCTAATTTGCAGTCCCAACAACAGTGTATAAGCATTCCTTTCTCTCTGCATCCATCACCAGCATGTATTGTTTTTTGACTTTCTAATAATGGCTATTATGACAGGGGGAAGGTGATATCTCATTGTGGTTTTAATTTGGGTTTCCCTGATGATTAGTGATGTTGAGAATTTCTTCATATGTTTTTTGGCTGTTTGTCTTTGGTCATTTGTCTACCTTCCTTTGAAAACCTTCTGTTCATATCTTTACCCACTTTTTAATGGGGATATTTGTTTTTTCTTGCTGATTTGTTTGAGTTCTTTGCAGATTCTGGATATTAGCCCTTTATTGGATGTATAGTTTGTGAATATTTTCTCCCATTTTGTAGGTTGTCTATTTACTCTGTTGATTATTTCCTTTGCTATACAGAAGCTTTTGAATTTAATCAAGTCCCATTTATTTCTTTTTGTTTTTGCTGTATTTGCTTTTGGGGTCTTAGTTACAAATTCTTTCCCTAGGCTAGTGTCTAGAAGAGTTTTTCTACATTTTCTTCTAGAATGTTTATGGTTTTATGTCTTACATTTAAGTCTTTTATCCATCTCAAATTAATTTTTATATATGGTGAGAGACAGGAATCTTGTTTCATTCTTCTGCATGTGGCTATCCAGCTTTCCCAGCATCATTTATTGACTAGGGCTTCCTTTCACCAGCGTATGTTGTTGTCTGCTTTGTTGAAGATCAGTTGGTTGTGGGTAGATGATTTTCTACCTGGGTTCTCTATTCTGTCCATGGTCTATGTCTCTACTTTTATACCAGTACCATGATGTTTTGGTTACTATAGCCTTACAGTATAATTTGAAGTCTGGTAACACGATCCCTCCAGATTTGTTCTTTTTGCTTAGGATTGCTTTGGCTACTTGGGCTCTTTTTGTTTCCAAATGAAGCACAGAATTATTTTTTCTAGATCTGTGAAATATGATGTTGGTATTTTGATGGAGATTGCACTAAATCTGTAAATCACTTTGGGTAGTATGAACATTTTAACAATGTTGATTCTACCAATCCATGCACATAAGATGTTTTTCCATTTATTTGTATCATCTGCCATTTCTTTCATCAGTGTTTCATAGTTCTCCTTGTCGAGATCTTTCACTTCCTTGGCTAGGTATATTCCTAAATATGTTTCTTTGTAGCTATTTTGAATGATATTGAGTCTTTGATTTCGCTCTCAGTTTGAGTGTTATTAGTATATAGAAATGCTACTGATTTGTGTACATTGATTTTGTAACCTGAGACTTTGCTGAATTTGTTTATCAATTCTTGGAGTCTCTTGGTGGAGTATTTAGGATTTTCTAGATACAGATCATATGGTTAGTGAAAAGCAAGAGTTTGACCTCCTCTTTCCTGATTTGGATGCCTTTTATTTCTTTCTCTTGCCTTATTGTTCTGGTTATGACTTCCAGTACTATATTGCATAGAAGTGGTGACAATGGGCACTCTTGTCTTGTTCCAGTTGTTAGGGGGAATACTTCCAACTTTTCCCCCATTCAGTAAGATGTTGGCTGTGAGTTTGTAGTCTATGGCTTTTATAATTTTGAGATATGTTCCTTCTGTTCCTAGTTTGTTGAAGGTTTTTAATCATGAAAGAGTGCTGGATTTCATCAAATACTTTTTCTGCATCAATCGAGATGATCATATGGTTTTTTTTTTCTTTTGTTTATGTGGTGAATCATGTTTATTGATTTGCACATGTTGAGCCATCCTTGCACCCCTGGGATTTGATCATGGTTAATTATCTTTCTGATGTGCTGTTGAATTTGATTTGCTAGTATTTTGTTGAGAATTTTTGCATCTATATCCATAAATGGTCCATTGGTCTGTCGTTTTCTTTTTTTGTTGTGCCCTATCCTGGCTTTGATATCAAGGTGATACTGGCTTCATAGAATGAGTTAGGGAGGAGGGTTCCCTTCTTCTCAATGTTTTGGAATAATTTCTGTAGGATGGGTTCTTCTTTGCAGGTCTGGTAGAATTTGGCTGTGAATCTGTCTGGTCTGGGGCCTTTTTGGGTTGGGAGTATTTTTTTATTACTGCTTCAATTTCACTGATCATTATTGGTCTGTTCAGAATTTCTATTTCTTCCTGATTGAGGCTTGGGAGGTTGAGTGTTTCCAGGAATTTATCTATTTCCTCTACATTTTCTAGTTTATGTGCATAGAGATTTTCATAGTATTCATGGGTGATATTTTGTATTTCTGTGGTATCAGTTGTAATGTCTCCTTTTTCATTTCTTGTTGAGCTTATTTTGGTCCTTTCTCTTCTATTTCTGGTTAATCTAGTTAGAGGTCTATCAATTTTGATTATCTTTTCAAAGAACCAACTTTTTGTTTTGTTGATCCTTAGTAAATTTTTTTGTTTCCATTTTGTTTAGTTTCTGTTCTGAGCTTTGTTGTTTCTTTTCTTCTGCTGGCTTTGTTTGGTTTGCTTTCCTTTTCCTTTGAGATGTGACATTAGGTTGTTAATTTGCGATCTTTTTGTCTTTTTAATATATGAATTTAAGGCTGTGAATTTTTCCCTTAGGACTGCTTTTTCTGTATCCCATAGATTTTGCTAGCTTGTGTCCCCTTTGTCATTCAGTTTGAGGAATCTTTTGATTTCCATCTTAATTTCATCATTGACTGAAGAATTATTCAGCAGCAGGTTGTTTAATTTCTATGACTTTGTGTAGATTTGAGTGTTTCCCTTGGGATTGATTTCTAGTTTTATTGCACTGTGGTCTGAGAAGACACATGGTATGATTTTGATTGTTTTGAATTTGCTGAGACATATTTTGTGGCCTACGATATGATCAATCTTGGAAAATGTTCCATGTGCTGATGAGAAGATAATATGTTCAGTGGTTTTTGGGTAGAATGTTCTCTAAATGTCTGTTAGGTCCAGTTGTTCTGGAGTCCTGTTTAATCTAGTTTTTCTTTATTGATTTTCTGCTTTGATGATCTGTCCATCTCTGTCAGTGGGGTCTTGCAGTCCTTGGCAATTATGTCGCCACTGCTTATTTCTTTGCTTAGATCAAGTAGAATTTGCTTTATGAATCTGGGAGCTCCTGTGCTAGGTACATATATGTTTAGGATTGTTATGTTTCCTATTGAATTGTTCCCTTTATCCTTATATAATGGTCATCTTTGTCTTTTTTTTTTTTTACCATTGTTGATTTAAAGTCTACTTTGTACGATATAAAAATGGCTGTACCAACTCACTTTTGGTTTCCATTTGCATGGAACATTTTTTTCCATCCCTTTACCTGAGTCTGTGCGAGTCCTTGAGAGTTAGATGTGTTTCTTGGAGACAGCATATACTTGGGATGTGTTTTTTCATCCATTCATCCAGTGTGTGTCTTTTCAGTGGGGCACTGAGGCTGCTCACATTCAGTGTTAATATTGATATGTGGGATAATGTTCTGTTCATCATGTTGAATGATACCTTGTTGTTTTGTTTTCTCTCTTGTGCTACTGTTTTATAAAAGCTATGAGTTTAACTTTTGGGTGTTTTTTACACTGATGGGTATCTATTGTGCTGTTCCATGTATAATGCAGTTCTGAGTATTTCCTGTAGGGCAGGTCTAGTAGTGACAAATTCCCTCAGTGTTTGCTTGTCTAAAAAAGTCTTTATTTATCCATCATTTATGAAACTTAGTTTTACAGGACACAAAATTCTTGGCTGACAGTTGTTCTGTTTAAGAAGACTTAAAATAGTGCCCCAATTCTTTCTGGATTGTAAGGTCTCTGCTGAGAAGCCTGCCGTTTGACCATTGCTATTAATTATGAGATTTACTTCAACTTTGAAACCTGTGGATTTACTATGGTTTCTAGCATATCTGACTCCTTATGGTTCCTAATGGTAAAAATATTTTAAAGAACTATAAGGGATCTCTGGGTTTGGAGACGAGAGCACAGGAAGATCCTGGGAAACAGGGATTCTTGTTCTAATATAGTTTGAGTCTAGGACTTCCGTAGCTCAACTTATTCAGGGATAATTTGGCTCAGAAAGAGAATGTGTTTCTGGTTGGTCCGAGTGCAGTGGTGTTTACAACTAATTGATCACAACCAGTTACAGATTCCTTTATTCCTTCTCCACTCCCACTGCTCCACTTGACCACCCTTAGGAAAAAAAAAAATAATAAAATAGAATGTGTTTCTTGCTGTTCTCCTATCCATACTATGTGTTAGTTGAACATTGATGTGCTGCTTTTTGTCCCAACAGAGCCAACAGGAGCCTGTGTCAGGAGAACACGTTAGAGCAGAGTTGCTGGATGCCCAAACTGCGGCTCCTCCTCCTGGGGAAATGTCACTCAGGAAAAAGTGCCACGGGAAACACCATTCTGGGCAAACCTGTATTTAAGTCCATGTGCAGTGGTCAGATGGTGACTAAAATGTGCCAGAGAGAGTATGGGGACCTGAAAGGGAGGGAGGTTGTGGTCATTGACACCCCTGACCTTTTCTCAAAAGTTTATGCTGAAGACAAGCAACGCAACATCCAGCACTGCTTGGAGCTCTCTGCTCCCAGCCTCCATGTCCTGCTCCTGGTAATTCGCATTGGCTATTATACAAGGGAGGATAAGGAAACAGTCATGGGCATCGAAGAGGTGTTTGGATCCGAAGCCAAGAGGCACATCATTATTGTTTTCACTCAGAAGGATGATTTGGAAGATGACTTGCTGCAAGATTACATTGATAACAACAAGTCTCTCAAGGAGTTGGTTCAAAATTGTGGGGGCCGATATTGTGTTTTCAACAACAAGGCAGGTGAGGACGAACGGACTGCCCAGGTGTCAGAGCTCCTCTGCAAGATCGAGGATTTAGTGGTTGAGAACAAAGGACCATATTGTGTAAACTTCAAAATGGAAGGCAGCAGGTTCCAGGTAAAAATCCTTGTTAATGTCTCTAAGGATTTCTTTGTTGCTAAATTTAGTGGGATAAAGATGGATACAAATACGTGAAATATTGCATTGTGTGATGGAACTTGAGTTTTATTTAAGGAGATATTTATATACAATCTGCAGTAATAAGAGGTATCAGACTATAGGTTACTTTAAGTATCAGCCTAAGGACTTTAGACTTTCTTGGCAAATTAATGGACAAGTTTAAGCCCTTATCTTACCTGGCCCCTCATATTATTGAATACACAATGATTCTTTGCCTAGCTTCAACAGAACTACTCTCTTCTTGTTTTGTTTTTCCTGCTTTATTTCTGGCTACTCCAGAGATTGCTGAGTCCTCTGCTAATCTCTGACCTCTAAAAGTTGACATCCTCAGGGCTTGGTTCTGGCCTTTCTTCAATTCCTTATACTCTCTTCTCAGATGACCCCATATTTTCATGGCACTGAGCTCCATTTATTGCTAGCGTTTTCCAAATTATTAAAAGTAGTAACTGTAGTCTGTCCATAGTCTGTCCTTTGAGCTCAGACTTCTTTTTGCAATTGCTACTTGGCATCTCCACTTGTCTCTCTTAATTTTTGATCTCTCTTAAATCTGTAAGGTTTTTTCCTCTCAACTCAATTGATGGTTATAGTGCTCACCATGATCTTCATACCCAAGCCCAGATGTCAGCTTTGATACCCTGCTGGCTTGCATCTGAAATCACCAGGGATTGATCTACCTGGAATCCACCTGGAATCCACCTACTTCCCACCATCTCTGCTCCCACCACCTGGTCCAAGCCAGCATCTTTTCTTGCCTATACTATTTTAATCTACTAATGACATTGATTCTTGGGCCTTATACCCTAATCCATTTTACACATAATAGCCAGGGTTGTATTTTATTTAATTTTTTTAACATGAAAGGAAAATGTACTTGTAACTAAGGAAAATACAAAAATGCAGGCTTTTGCCTTTGAGGAGCTTACAGTTCAATTGCAGTGACTTATGCATAGGAAACAAAGGACTCACCGGCTCAGTGTAAGTAGGGGAGGCTGAGACAGAGGATTCTGCAGCTGTAAGTGCCAGAGGATGAAAAGCAGGCAAAAGTGGAGCCTGGAGGAAGTTTTGGCCAGACAGAGAGACTTCTTAGAGGTGGAGAGCAATAAGCCTAATAAGCAGGATGGAAATAAGAAGAAAATCAACATGTATTTGGTGCCTGCTAAATTCCACATACATACATAAGTTGATGAAGTCTTCATAGCACCTCTATGTACAGATGTTCTACTGATGAGGAAACCGAGGCTCAAGAGTTACCCACCTACCCTATGCCTGAGTTCTCTCTCTTTCTTTCACTGCAATCTCTCTCTCTCTTTAGGGCTGTGTGGAACAGGGATATCAGCAAAGAGGAGGATGAGTTTTCTACAACGAATCCCTCTTGTTTAAATGCTTTGGTCACTTCCTGCTGATCTTACAATGAAGTTCAGAACCTGGCTGGACTTTAATTTGGCCTGGCTCCTTACCCTGTGCCCTTTCTGCGCACTGGTGTCACTGACCTTCCTGTGGGCCCTTGAGATACGCTCACTTCCTTGCCGGAGCCTCAAGCTGTGATTCTCTCTGCACTGACACTGCTCTCCCCCTCCCACCCTGTGTCAGGTCTGCTTTTATTTATCCACCTGCCTCGGCTGAAGCTTACTCCTCAGGGACGCCTCCCTGACTGTCCTGACTCTCAGGACCCTGGAATGACCCCCCACAGCTCCCCTCCCCTCATGGCACCCCTCAGACTGGTCACCCCCATATCAAGTGATTCCAGTGGTGCCTCCCCACATACTCCATGAGAACAGAAATCATATCTGCTCTGTCGACTACGGTATCTTAGTTTTGTCTTCTGTAAGACAGAGATCATAATCACATGTATCTCAGGAGCTACTGTGAGGATTAAATGAGATGCTTACAAAATTGTTAACAAATACTTGAAATTTGGTAGGTGTTCAGGAATTATTAGTGGTTATTATTATTTTATGAAAATATATGAGAATCAAATAAATTGTAGAGACATCAAGGACTTTAACAATCCAGAAACTGAGTCAGATCCCTACTTTTAGGACTCTATGCCCTGGAAATAAAAACATTAGTATATATAAAGATATATGGACAAGAATAGTTATCACAGAATTTTAAAAATAGTAAAACCAGAAATAACCTGGAGATCAATCCATAAAGGGCTGGTTGCATTAGTTATGCATGTCCACACTATGGAAAAAATTGTATCTACTAAAAAGAATGATGTAAATTTATCTACATTGACTTCTGCCAATGTACAGGATACATTACATGCTACAGGCACCTAGTAAGTGTCTTTATAGGTCCACGTATGTTTGTATGTATTAGTGTAAACGTAGAAAAACATAGAAGGATATATATCGGTTAAAAACTGTTGCTTTTCTGGTGGATTGGAGATAGATTATTAATTTTTATATTATGGACATTTACATTGTAACAATCTTTGGTATTTAAATAACACTAAAGAATTTGAACTTGGCCCTGTAAAGTGAAAGATATCTGACAATCAGAGCTGGATGGAGAGGACTCTGGGAGAGGGACGATCGAAAGTATCAAAGACATTGGGCAAGGCTAGGCAAGAAAGCAGAGGGAGGGTTTCCTTGGCTGGCATGGAGATTTAGCAAAGATGAATTTAAAATGAAGTCTAGGAATTTTCTAGGAATAGCAGGTTCATCAAGACTGCATGACATGCTTTTCACTTCCTTTCTTGATTCCACGGCAATTTAAATTTTGGGAGTGAATATAGGATTCACCAGGCAGGAGAAAGGGATGTCAATTATGTGTTTGGCCCTCCATCCTGTTGTCTCTGTTTGCCAAATTTGCGGGGGAGTTTTCAAATTTTGCTGGACCTCATGTTAGAAGAAGCTTCATCTCTATTGTGACAGCAGCAAGGGAAGGAGGCATTGGAGATGTCACCACCTCTGGGAACCGGTCACAGCAGCATCAGTGGGATCTAAGGATCAACTGTCATTCTGGACAGGTCCACAAAGGCCAGTGAAGACCATGACCAGGGCCTTGATTTCACCACCTCCTAATCAGCAGATTACTCTGAATTATATATTTAAGTTTCCATTTTTTTAATTTGCAAAAAGATGAGATTTGAAATCCGTGTGCATCGTTTTTTCCCTCTATTTTCTAGGATTGTGTGAATGAAGCTACATCTCAGGAGGGGGACCATCCACATGGTAAGTTGATCCTTTAAAAATATTAAGCTCATATCTGTATTCTTTTTAATGCATTACACAGCCAAGTTGAAGTGAATAAATTATCCATATAAATCAGAACAAAAATGCACCCTGGAGACCTAGTCTAGATTATTGCCCACAGCCAGTTCTCCAAGGACCTCCTAACACTCATGAATAGGTGCAGTACCAGCAAAGGTCCTGGACACAGTGTTCTTGGACTTTTCTGAAATGTTACAGAGCTAGGCTTACCTCTTGTGGCTTCTTTTCTAACTCAGCCTCTTCTTTCTGGACCTGGATCCAGCATTATCCAGGTTTTGACTCCTGTTAGGAAAGCAGAAATCAGTCCTTCGTGGACAATAACAACTTGCAGAATTCGCGGATGGAGCACAGTATCCATGTAACGATGGCTATTAATGACATATCTATCCTGCCCATATCTGCACAAGTCAATGTGTATAGATCTACCTCTTTCTGGTTAGCAGATGCAATTTGTAATAATGTGGACATACACAACTACTGCAACCATGCCTTTGTTGATGGATTTGCAGGTTATTTTTGGGTCAGCCCTGTGCAAGAACTGAGTATTCGGCAGTGAACAAGATAGATAAGACAGTTTTTCTCATGGAACTTCCCCACATTATAAAATCATAATTTTGATAATAATGATAAATGCAGGTGACATTATGTGCTGGGAAATAACTTTTATGTATATAATTCCATCCTCACAGCATGTAATACACAATCCTCTTAAAAATATGTAGTTCAGTCCTCGGCCCTGTGGAGAAGGCATCATTATTGTTATCCTTATTTCACAAATGAATGAACTCAGCCAGAAATGTGTGAATACAGGCAGTGGGCTTCAAAATTCTGCAGATGCCCTTTAGCCAAGACCCCCCGGAACACACTGTGACTGAACAGAATTGGGTTTATTGACGCATGGCAGTGAGAGCCTGGCCCACCGTGGGGAATCATGGGGCATCTCAGAAAGAGGGGGCTGGGAAGGAGTTTCATAGGATGTGGGCTTGTGTTAGGTGAGCTTAAGGAAGGTTCCAGAAAGTGGGCCTTTGCTCCAGATGGATGCTATCAGGAGGTGGGAGTAGTGCCACGACTAGGTATTTTAATAGTTCCTTCTCAAAGGTGATGAGGGTGAAGTGGGGCTAAAGCTGTCAGGAAGCAGCTGTCATCCTCTTAGCCAGGACGGGAAAGTTTGGGCAATGCTCTTGCGCTTCTCTGTGTTCAGATGTGACAGTGGAGTGGTCATGGTCACAGAGCGCTCATGTCTGATGTTCTGTGATACTGGGGATGAGGAACAGGAGGGGCCACGGCCTCGCTGTGGATGTCGGACCGGCTCCTGGCTCTCGGGGGCTACTGTTTCCTTCCTCAGCTCCTCCCTTTAACCACTACACTACATTGTCTCTCCTGAATTGAAGGGAGAGACAATATTTGAAAGAATGAACTGTTATTTTGGTAGGAGTCATAAAGGAAGATATATGGCACCTAATTTGTATGGCTTTGGGGGAATCAATTTAGGGGAAGCTCTCGTGAAGAAGTGATATTTACACAGAAATGGGAATGACCAGCAGGAGCTAGATAGGATAAGAGATGAGGACAGTGCTATCAGATGTACCAAAGCCCTGAAGGTTGTAAAGGATGAGAGGGGGAGTATGAGACAGAGAGGAAGGGCGGCGTCGAGGCCTGAGTCAAGTCCCTCCTTATCCACGAAGCCAGTCGGGACACTAAGGACTTTAAAGGTGCTGTTTCCCTTATTCCTTTCAACAGCCCAGGATATGGGCATTCATATGCCCATCCTACCAATGTGCAACCTCAGATTCACAAAGTAGAAACTTTTCCAAGGTGACACAACACGGACCTGGTGTCACTAGCATTTTAGCCATCTTGCTTTGCACTAAATGCCGTGTTCATTCCATCTTCCTGCCCTGTTGCTCAGACGGTGAGTGACATCCCTGTCCATGAGGGCTGTCGATGCACCAGTCTCCGTGAATATTCCCTGCAGTTGCTGACTCTACCTTTTGCTCAGAACGTGAGTCTGGTGTTGACCTTGTGTCACAGGAGAAGCGGTGGGAGCAGGGGATGTATGCAGATATAGTTTTTGGGTGTAATTTTGCAGGTTTTTACAGCAATTTATTGAGGTATGATTTACATAGAGGAAAACGCATGAATCTTAAGTATACAGCTTGGTGCCTTTTCCCATATCAACACATATGTGATCACCATCTAGATAAAGATCCAGGGCATTTCTATCACCTTAGAAGTTCTTACTGTCCTTCTCCAAAGAGATCCACTGTGTGGACTTCTATCAACATAGATTAATTTTTTTTTTTTTTTTTTGAGACAGAATCTTGCTCTCTTGCCAGGGCTAGAGTGCTGTGGTGTCAGCCTAGCTCACAGCAACCTCAGACTCCTGGGCTCAAGCGATCCTTCTGCCTCAGCCTCCCAAGTAGCTGGGACTACAAGCATGCGCCACCATGCCCCGCTAATTTTTTTTTTTTTCTGTTTCTAGTTGTTTGGCTAATTTCTTTCTATTTTTGGTAGAGATGGGGTCTCGCTCTTGCTCAGGCTGGTCTCGAACTCCTGAGCTCAAACAATCCGCCTGTCTCGGCCTCCCGGAGTGCTAGGATTAACATAGATTAATTTTGATTCTTGAACTTTGTATAAGGGAATCATATAGTACATAGTTTTTGTATTTGGCTTCTTTCACTTGAGATCCATCCATGTTGCATATCACTAGTTTACTCTATTTTTTAAAAATTGCTGAGTGTATTTGGTTTTAGGAATATACCACCAAGGGGCATTTAAAAATCAGATTCTCCCTGCTCCTGCCTTAGCCCATGGGCCTCCAGTCCCAGTACTTGCCCTTGGTAACAAAATGAGGGGCACCCTGAGGACCATGTTCCTGTTCCAGGAAAGCTCAAGCTCCTGGCATGTCTCTTAGTTGACTCATGCCGCCTTTGTGGCTTTTATCTTGATGGATAGCTTCTGGCTGAGCCTAAGTTGTAGTGGTTCAGGATGCTGCTGCCATTCTCTCCAAAAATTCACAGGGATGAGAAATAAAACCTGTCCACATTCATATTCAACTGCAGGAAGAGATTTTGAATTTGTCTGTCCCACAGGTCCAGGGGAGAGGCAGAGGCAGGACACAGGACCTGAGCAGAACCCGGGGACATCAGAACTGAGGGTCCTCCTCGTGGGGAAGTGCGGCGCTGGAAAAAGTGCAGCAGGAAACAGCGTTCTGGGGAAGCAGGTCTTTGAGACCAAATTCAGTGAGCAGCCAGTAACCCAGAGCTTTAGGTCTGAGAGCAGAATCTGGAGAAAGAAGAAAGTTTTGATCATTGATTCTCCAGATATCTCATCTTCAAAGGATGTTGGATCAGAGCTTAGGAAATACACCTGTGCCGGCCCCCATGCCTTCCTCATGGTGACGCCACTGGGCTTGTACAACAAGAAAGATGAGGCGGTGCTGGATACCATCAAAAGCAATTTTGGAGACAAATTTGTTGAGCACATGATCATTCTCCTTACCAGGAAAGAAGATTTAGGGGATGAGGATATAGATAAGTTCTTAAGAAGCAGCAATCAAGCTGATCTCTATGGGCTTATCCAGAAATGTAAAAGCAGATACAGCGCCTTCAACTACCGGGCGACGGGAGAAGAGGAGCAAAAGCAGGTGGATGAGCTTCTGCAAAAAATTGAGAACATGGTGGAGCAGAACAGAAACAAGCCTTGCATCTTTAGGGAAAAAGGTAAATTGAGACATAGAAAACATTTTCATATATACTGTTTAAAAATAGATTTAAAACACATAAGAACTTTATTTTCTAAAAGGCATAGAAAAGATAGGACAGGTGCATCTACCAACTAACTCTTCTCTATCTCCTTTCTTTCTCAGATTGTACTGAAGTTATGACCTTTCCATGCACAGTGTCCTGAACTGGTCTTTAATTCTTTTGTGACCCTTAACCCATCTCCCCAACTGAACGGAGGGTCTTGAGGGAAGGAGTTGACCTTTTCCAATCTCATTTTCCCTAGTGTACTGTTGCCCAGGGCTCGGCTCACTGCCCTCTCCACTGATGAAGGAGGACTCCCCACCCACTCAGTTCTACACATAGACCTGAGTTGAGATCCTTCCCATTCTTACTCATCCCATTCTCCTCTGCTTCCAACACTCTCACCCAGGAAGAACGTCAGACCCAAATGGGCATATGTGTTCATTGAAACCTTTCGTGGCCTTCCATGGGGACAAAGAAGATGGTCTTGCTGGAGGTGGGGGTTCACAGCTCTAGAATATGTGGGATGGGGAGGTCAGACCAGATTTCAGAGGCATCTGAGACCCAGACCCCCTGTGGGCACAGAAGCAGAGACTGAAATACATGACAAATATGGGGGTTTCGGAAGATTAAGCTACTGTTCATCCTGTAAGCATGAGTATGAGCTTGTGGGCTCAGGATGAGTAGTTCAATCATTTCCCCTGGAAGCAAGAACATGGGATGGGCTCTCCTCCCTCTTTGCTTTGGGGCAGATATTAGTCACTTGATGACAAATTCATACTGGAAGAGAACTGTGATGAAGCCAGAATGAGCACTGGGCCATCACAGTGCAAGTGCAAAGGCGTAAGAAAAACCTTCAAAGAATACATACTGTAACATCTCTGTGCTTCTGTGAATTTCATTCACAGGGAAATTTATCCTCTTTCTCCATCGCGGACACCGCACACAACAGTGTTCAGTGAATATTCATTATTACAACCACAAGGTGTCTTATGACTCATCAGTGAAAGACAATTAAGTTCAATGTGGATTTAATGAGAAATAAATTTTAACATGATCTGAGCATGGAAACTGCTAATTTGTCAATGGTATATATAGTTACGTTTTCATGAAAGTCAATTCTACAGAATAATTCTTTAAATACCTTAAGGAGAGGTTGCTATAGTGAGCACTAATTGGCAATGGGAAGACATCATTGCAACAGGAACAGATGACAAAGGGTGAGATGTGCAGACGGGACCTGGCTGAGGGGGAAAAGAACCATAAGGCCAGAGGCATTCACAGGAGCCAGGGAGTCAGAGAAGGTACCAGAAAAAGGGGGCAAGGCAGATTCAGAGGTAGGAACCGTGCCATGTTAGTGGATGAGCACTGGGTGGAGACAGCGGTCCAAGTCCTGCTGCTGAGTTCACTGAGTGAATGAGGACAAGCCATTCCCGTGCCTGGGGACTGACCTGCCAGGTGAGAGGGAGGCGTTGGCGCTGCCTGAGCATCCCCTCTGCTTTAGTGATGTAATCCTGCTTTCTGGCATGACTTTATTTTTTCTTATTTTTTATTTTATTTATCTATTTATTTTTAAACTTTAAAAAAATTTCAATAGATTTAGGAGGTACAAATGGGGATTTGTTATGTGGATATATTGTGTAGTGGTGAAGTGTGGGCTTTTAGCATACCCATCACCCGAGTAGTGTACATTGTACCCAACAGGTAATTTTTCATCCCTCACAATTCTCCCACCCTCCTCCCTTTTGAGTCTTTGGTGTCCATTATACCACTCTATGTGGCCATGCATAGCTGCAGCTTAGCTCCCATTTATAAGTGAGAACATGCAGTATTCGGTTTTCTGTTCCTGAATTACTTCACTTAGGTAATGGTCTCCAGTTCCATCCAAGTTGCTGCAAAAGACATTGATTCATTTATTTTTATGGCCGAGTAGTACTCCATGGTGTGTGTGTGTGTGTGTGTGTGTGTGTGTGTGTGTATACACAACATTTTTTTATCCACTTATCAGTTGATGGGCACTTAGATTGATTCCATATCTTTGCAATTGTGAGCTGTGCTGCGATAAACATATGAGAGTGCAGGTGTCTTTGGGTAGATACCCAGTAATGGGACTGCTGGATCGAATGGTAAATCTACTTTTAGTTCTCCGAGAAATCTCCATGCTGATATCCACAGAGGTTGTACTAGCTTCCATTCCCACCAACAGTGTCTAAGTGTTCCCTTTTCATCACAGCATCTATTGTTTTTTGACTTTTTACTAATGACCATTCTAATTGGAGTAAGATGGTATCTCATTGTGGTTTTTTTTTTTTTTTTGAGACAGAGTCTCTGTTGTCCTGGCTAGAGTGAGTGCCATGGCGTTAGCCCAGCTCACAGCAACCTCAAACTCCTGGGCTCAAGCGATCCTACTGCCTCAGCCTCCCGAGTAGCTGGGACTACAGGCATGCGCCACCATGCCCGGCTAATTTTTTTCTATATATATTTTTAGTTGTCCAGATAATTTCTTTCTATTTTTTTTTAGTAGAGACAGGGTCTCGCTATTGCTCAGGCTGGTCTTGAACTCCTGAGCTCAAACAATCCACCCGCCTCGGCCTTCATTGTGGTTTTAATTTGCATTTTCCTGATGATTATTATGTAGACCATATTTTCATGTATTTTTTGGCCATCTGTGTATTTTCTTTTGAAAAATGTCTGTTCATGTAGTTTGCCCAGTTTTTAAAATTTTTTTGATTTCAGCATATTATGGGGGTACAAATGTTTAGGTTACGTATATTGCCCTTGTCCCCCCTGAGTCAGAGCTTCAAGTGTGTCCATCCCCCAGATGGTGCGCACCGCACCCATTAGATGTATATATGTCCATCCCTCCTCCCCCCCACCTGCCCGACACCTGATTAATGTTACTACTATATGTGCACTTAAGTGTTGATCAGTTAATACCAATTTGTTGGTGAGTACATGTGGTGCTTGTTTTACCATTCTTGTGATAATGGGGTTGCTTGATTTTTTTCTTGCTGAGTTGTTTGATTCTGGGTGTTAATCATTTGTCAGATGCATAGTTTGCTACTATTTTCTCCCATTCTGTAGGTTGTCTATTACATAACTTTAAAGTCCAATTCCAGATACACCCAGGGTCACAAATCTTTTCTGCTTTCCTTCTGACAGAAGCCCTGAGCCTGATGCTTGTGGGGAAGTGTGGGACTGGAAAGAGTGCAACCGGGAACACCATCCTGGGGAGTGTCGTCTTCCCCTCTCAGCTCCGAGCCCAGCCGGTCACCAAGGTGTGCCAGAGTGGCAGGAAGACATGGGATGGGCAGGATGTGGTGGTGGTGGATACTCCTTTCTTCAACCAGATGCCTGGTGCTGAGAAGGATCCATCCTGGTTAGAGGAGGAGATTAAATGCTGTTTCTCCTGCTGTGAAGAAGGGACCAGGATTTTTGTCCTGGTGTTCCAGCTGGGGCGATTCACCGAAGAGGACAAAGCCATGGTGGAGCAACTGGAGTACGCCTTCGGGAAGGATGTGATGCGTTATGCCATTGTGCTGTTCACCCGGATGGAGGACCTTGGGCAGGGGAAGCTTGAAGATTACATCGAGAACACAAAAAACAAAGCCCTTAAGAACATAATTACAAGGTGTGGGAGGCGATACTGTGGTTTTAGTAACAAAAAAACTGGCCAAGCTGGGGAAGCCCAAGTGAAAGCTCTTTTGACACTGGCCAACGAGCTGAGAAGGAAGCGGGAAGGTGATGGGAATGCCTATGCATGGGAGAATGTCATAAAACAAATCAAACATGCTCAGGAAAAGTGCAATATGAAAAAAATCGTAAAGAATTTAAAAGGTTAATGTAAGTAGCTGAAATGCATGGGGTCTCTTTAAGTTAGGGACACCCTCAGGTTGGAGAGGGGGGCATGGTAGGACTGATGGATGGGAGGAGGGTTCACGGCTTTGAGGGCTTGGGAGGTAAATGTATCCCACCTTGTGATGCTTCAGCTGTTTGTAGGTAAATGAATTGTGAGGCTGGGGCAAATAGTAGGGGAAAAGGAGTCCAGGAGTAGACAGTCTGGGGCTGGCGGGCACCAACGTTCCAGCGTCATCCTGTCTTTCCACCCCACCTTCCCTGGCACGTGGCTTCCACGCTCGTTTGCTGCTTGGTTGCAAGACGGTGGTGTTCTACTCATGGCTGAGAAGAAATTAATAATACTGAGAGCTGCCTGGGGTGGGCGAAATGTGAGATGGAAAATAGGGAATCTTCTTCAGGGCAGGTATAGGGTTAGATGTTTTCAATCATTTCATATGCTTTGATGTCATTTGCTTATTTTCTCCCTTACAATATCAGGTTACCTTCAAGATTAACCCATTTATAAAAGCATGGACTGTCATTATTAATATTTTTGGACTTCACATATAACCCTTTACATGATAACATCTGGAAAACGTGTATGTAGATATATTCAGTTCAATGAAATAATAAACATGAATTAGATTACAAATTCATGTTCTCCTTTTGATTTCTATTTTTCTGATTTAGAGAAAGAGTACGCCTTCATGAAGAGGCAATCAAGATGTTTTTACATACTTTGATTCAGGTGAGGTTTTTGCAACTTTGGTGCCTGAGAACCCTTAGATTGGTGACAGCCCCTTGGTGACAGGTCTGTGCCAGCTCAGGTGTCTTCCACTCTGGACATTTACTACAGCAAGGACAAATAACTGTAACCAATGTTGGAACCAGAAACATGGGAGTAATAAGATCTGGAAGGCATTCCATGTGTCTTCCCCGACAGCTGGAACAGATCCCAGTTGCCACCCATGGCTGAGCGGGTGACACTGGGAGCTGCACATGGTGGGGTATGCACGGGTTAAGCAATCTGGCATCATCTCACAGGTAGGAGCTAACACACACCATTGTTTTCCTTTAGGTCCACTCCTGAGCGGGGGACAATATTGCGGTGTCAGTTCCTCTGAGAAGGACGTGTGAGAAAGAGTTAGGAGTGCAAGAGGTTTGCTGGGAGTAATGCCAGTGAATGACAAAAGAGGGAGGAAGCAGAATTGGGCAGGGAAACCCTTCATACTGTGGTCGAGGAAAGGAAAAGGAAAGCAGGGAGGCGCTGAGCTGGACGGGAGAGCCTCAGATCTGACAAAGCCTGGGCCAGCTCAGCAGGGAATTCTGGGGCAAAGATGGGTCACTAGCCAAGTGCTGCATTGGGCAGACACTAGCAGCTCTGCCGTGCTCAGCTGTAGGCAAGGAGGACCCTGGAAACAGCAAGGTTCCCAGAAGGTGAGGTGTGCCCTGACAGCGTTGCAGCTGGAGGCTGCCAGCTAGCAGCACTCCTTGGAACCAAATGGCAAGTTTCTTTTTGAAGGGAGAAACTTCAAGAGTGGCTCTCCTTCATGCCTGCTACAACCGGCTGGCATGCTCTGTGCCTCCCTGAGGACCCCGCTGCAAGCTGGACGTCCAGAACTGATAGTCCACTGCCTCAAGCATGTGTGTCTTAACAAGGCCACTGGCATCCTGGCCACCTGTTGCTCATCCTGCCTCTGCAGTGTGGTGCTATTGATGTAATGTGGTGGTTCTCAACTGGAAATAATATTGCCCTGCAATTCTTTTTATATTTTTTTTATCTCAGCATATTACGGGGGTACAAATGTTTAGGTTACATACATTGCCTTTGCCTCACCCGAGTCAGAGCTGCAAGTGTGTCCATCCCCCAGACAGTGTGCACCACACCCATTAGATGTGAATATACCCATCTCCTCCTCCCCTACACCTGCCCGACATCTGATGAATGTTATGCACTCACCATCAAATTGCTGTTAACTGATCAACACTTATGTGCACATATAGTAGTGACATTCATTGGGTGCCCTGCAGTTCTTGGAGACATTTTTGTTTGTCACAACAGGGAGTAGGTTCTACTGGCTTGTGTAGGTACAGGCCAGGGATGCTGCTGAACATCCTAAAATGCCCAGGGCAGTCGCACACAACAAACAATTATCTGGCCCAAAATGTCCACAGTCCTGAGACTGAGAGACCCTGATGCAACAGATAACGTGACGTCCGGCAGGATGTACGGCAGGACATCGAGGTGGTCCAGACCTCTGGGTTAGAGAGTGGGGGAGATAACTTGTAAGGAAGTGATTATTCCCTATTCGCAGTGTCTCCGTTTTTTTAAGGCACTAAGCTTGTGATTGTTCTTGACATCGGGTCATTCTGTACACCCAAACGTCCCCTCCTTCCTCACAGCAATCCTTTTCACTTTTCTGTCTTCCTGCATTGAGAAAGATGTACCCCAAAATGTGGCATTTGTGATAAATTTAGCTTAAAGAGTAAAAAAAAAAAAAGTTTCATGATTACAACGAGACAAAAAATCCCATAAAAATGGGCTAATTTCTTGAAAGGGTGTAGGCTGAGTTGCTGGCACGACCGTGGAACCTGCGAGCAAGCTGGCCTCCCTGGAAGAACCCCCAGGCCACTTGATGACGAGCCCCTTCTCCTCCTGCCTCAGATGGAACATCCACCTTTTCAGTAAAGCTCCTCCCCTTCCTATCCCATCACTCCATTCGTTTGTTCCATGGACCTGTTGGCCCAGCCTCTCCTACTGGGACACTATCACCCTCCCTAACAGCTTAAGGGATCAGCGTGCCTCAGCTCCCATTTTCCCCCGAGAGGCGACTTGACGTTAATGAGAAACTTCTGTGGCTTTATGCTCACATGTCTCGGTTTCCGAGAATTGACGCAGGATGTACTCAACAGAGTGGTGTAAAACCTAGCTGTGAACAGAAAGATACATTTCCCTTCGCAGCTACGAACATTTCCTGTTTATTGCTTTTCACTTAACACTGTCCTCTTATAGGTTAGTGGGTGGGAGAGTAGCAGGCTGGGTTTCCTGACCCACACGTTAAAGGGCAGCGTGTAGACTAGACGAAAAGGGGTCAAGCCTGGGCCAAGCTGTGAAGCCCAAAAGAGCCTCAGGAGACATAATTTGTCTTTCATAAATCTACAGTAACCTGAAGTCTAAAATGACATCACATTGGCAACAATTATGCATGTGTTCCTAGCTTGCACCCCATCTGCTGTTGCAGCACTCCACCCTCCCAGCAAGTTCTGTTTTCCCTGGATATATTAATATTTCTGAGTGTGCCCAGGGGACCAGTGATATTACCCACTGAAAATGTCTGTCACGAGTCATGTGGCATCTACCATGCCTTTACTCTTTTCCTGATGGAAACCCTTCTCTGCTGGGTACTGCTTACTAGGCACTATTAATTACAAAAGCATGACTCTCAATCCTACTGGCCACCATAGGTTGCCAATATTTCCAGGTCTACTGGGCACTGGAGCACCCTCCAAACACCTTTGGTATTTCTTCTGATCATTCCTGTTTTCACCGGGCAAGGAAGTTCTCATGAGCACCCCTCCTGGTTCCACTGGCTGCTCACGCCTTCCTTCGTGGGTTTCCTACCTTGGGAATGGTTCCATAATCTGTCAAGTTGCCCACACCATGCACCTTGACTTTTCTTTGCAATAAATAACAAAAAATTGTGTATTATAATGGCTTCATATCTCCCTGGAGCATCCACTTTCCCCCTTTTCTCCACCCTAGTTGCGGTTACCATCATTTCTGGTCTGGATCATGGCAACTGTTTCTTAGGACTGAACTTGTTTCCGGGCTTGCTCCTCTCGAATTACCCTTCATGCTGCAACCATAATGCTATTTATAAGGCTTACGTATAATTGTGAGGTGATGTCGGTGGGAATGGCAGAGTAATGCCCTCCAAAAATCCTCATCTCCACAAAAACAATAACACAGTCAAAAATAGAATCAAAATTTTTTCAGAACTCTGGGTATTAACCAAAGGCTTGAAGCTCTATTGGGAGTGTTAATTGAAGAAAAATAGTAAAAACAGTGAGTTTTGTGGTGTTTCAACTCGCCTCATTCCCATCACCCCCAACTCTGTGGTTTCCCTTGAAAACCAGTAAACTCTCATTACTGTGACAACTGGCAGCCACTGAGGGGGTCAGTTGGAGTTGGAGCTCCTTAGAAGCCCCATTCCTAGAAATATGTCATTATTTGACCAGTCTGGTAGTTCCCTAGAAGACCCACTAGCAAGCTTTGTCTTTATTTGACCTGACTTGGAGCTTGCCCAGTGCTAACTGTCTTTTTCTATGGGTGCGTTTTGAAAATAATTGTTTAGCATCATGGCTACATGAGGCCAGTGGATAACAATTGGGGAAATAACAGGTTAAACAAAAGGCCTAAAAAGAAAAGCTGTGGAATGAGATACCATTGGGAACTTTGAAAAGTTTTGACATATTTCTGGAACTCTAGAAGGGCACTCAAATGCACAGGGCTATGTACATGCCAGGAATGTGCAAATACTCAGGACAGACCTGAGAGGACCCTAACTTCTTTCACTTCTGGCTGATCTAGAGACTCTGCACAAGCAGGAAATGAAGATGAGGCAGAGTTGTAAACAGCCCAGCTGAGTACTGAAGGCACCTCCCAAGAAGCACACAGAGCCCCTTGGCCAAGATTGAGGGATTTATAGATTCCAGAAATTTAAAGAACTCTTTGTCAATCATTAGCTGACCACTAAACTACCTGAGCTGAGAAGTCACTGGCCACACATGACAATGAATACAGACTTTATAGAATTAGTTTAGAAAGGTCACTAAACAAAACAACAGCAATCACTGCAATGAAAATAAAAAGTATATGATTTCCAGTATTGTGACATTATATTATGTAAAATGTCCAATTTCTAACAAAAAATTATTAAACACACAAAGAAATAAGAAAGTATGACCGATATACAGGAAAAAAACCCCAACTATCGATAGAAACCGTTCCTGAGGAAGTCCAGTTGTTGTTGGACTTACTAGAAAAAGTCTTTAAATCTGCTGTTCACAGTATGTTCAAAGAAATAGAGGAATCCATGTCTAAAAAACTAAAGGAAAGTATGAGAACAATGTCTCACAAAATAGAGAATTCCAATAAAAAGATATAAATTATATAAAAAATACTAAATAAAGATAGCAGGATAAGTTCTGGTGTTCATTGCACAGTAGGGTATTGTGTATTACAAAATAGCCAGAGGAGAGGCTTTTGAATGTTCTTGCCACAAAGAATGATAAATGCATGAGGTAATGAATATGCTACCTATCCTAATTTGATCTTATGCAACATATGCATGTGTCAAAATATCAAATTGTACCCCATAAATATGTACAATAACAATGTGTCGATTAAAAAATAAAAAATACTAACTAGAAATTCTGGGGTTGAAAAAATTGTAATAAATAAAATGAAAATTTACTGTAGGCCTCAAAAGGAGATTTGAACAAGCAGAAAAATAAATCAGAGAACCTGAAGATGGGTCAATTGAGATTATATGGTCTGAAGAACAGAGGGGAAAAAA